TGTTACAGAGCACCGGGCAGTCGACTTTCACTAAAAGCCTTCAAATGTAAGTAAGGTCTTCAATATTCAATAAGATTATTGCATGACATAAAGAAAATAGCAAAAAAATCTTATGGTCTTTAAAGTAGACTTTGTGATGCTTTTGATTCTTTAAGGTGTAACTATTTAGACGCATGTTTCAAAAAGATGCGTTTTGTTGCTAATTTACAGGGATAAATTCGTGTTTGCCACAACTTTTCTATGGCTTCTATTTTGCTAATCAGCTACCTGTGATCTGAATAGGAATCCCACCAAATCGAATCTCTTAGTGACACCTAAAGACAATGTATCGGAGTCTCATCCAAATGAAATCGAGAAAACAATGGAGATTGGGGCGATAGGTATCTGACTCGGTTATTTCATAATTTTTGAAACCTCTAACGGTACTAGCTCCTCTAATATGCATTTTACTCGTTCAGATTTAATATTAGGTCTGACTCGGTCGGACTTTGAGTCAATAACATCTGACTCAATCACAACTATCAAACAACCCATCAATCAAGGCTTAATTGAGTAATACTTTGTGTTCAATATTTGGGGGAAACAAGCTCGAACTTAAGTAGCTTGCTAAATGTTCCAATCGTAACTCTTGGAATGGAATTAATATTTAATAATCAAAATCTTATGTGTCGGATATAAAATTTAAACTCATTTACATGTGTAAAATACTTTTGTTGAGCGATACGTCCTAATGTCCTACGTATGATATTTTTTGCCTGAATAGGTAAAGGCATTAAATTATTGTAAAGTGGAGTAAACTAAAGATAGAGAAAATTTTGAAGATGGAATAAAATAGAAAGGGGGTTCACTTGAAAGTGAATAAGTGATGACAAGTTGTGTTCTAAAATGGTCCACTAAGGGAAAAGGGACACATTTGGTGACGGCAAATTAAAGTGATTTTTATTGATTACATATCTATTTTTTAAAATTTTATGTTCATATTATCCATAAATATGTTATTTTAAATTGATTTGCAATAAGAAATATTATGTAGGGTGTGTTTGGCAAAAGTAGTTATTAGCTGGAAGCGGATAGCGGGTAGCGGGTAGCTGGTAGCGGGAAACTGTAACTTTTATTTGTTATTTGAATGTTTGGTAAAAGTAGTTGAAAGCTTTTGAAATATATAAAATTACATAAAATGACAATTGATTAAAAATAAGTAAATATATAAATATATTTTGAAGGGTAATTATGGAAATTGATTTCAAAAGCTCAGTAGCGTTTTGTTAAACGCTACATGAAGTAGCTTTTAGATTTGGAGCGTTTTGTTTAACCTAAAAGCTAAACGCTCGTACTACCAAACGAAGCTTTTTGTTTAAACTATAGCGTTTTGTCAAAAGCTAAAAGCTAGAAGCTCTCAAACGCTTCCAAAAGCTCCGTTCCAAACACGCCCGTAGATATACAAAAGATATATTCTTATAATAGGACACTATAAACTAAAAGTTTTTCTAAATATGCATGCATTTCTTACCCATACACATGCATCCAGTGGCGGAACCAGAAAAAATATTTAGGGGTAGCACATTTTTTTCTGCGTAAGACCTAAAGGGTAAAACCGGAAAAAATCCAGTTTTGGTCCTTTTGGATGCGGTCAATGATGTTAAACATAAATAGAAGCAAGTTGGTTATATTTATAAATACCATCAAACCACCACCATTATACTTCTCTAACAGCTTTTCCTGCCTAATCTCTAGCCTTCACCTTTGCTTTGACAAAATAGTGAACCTGCATAACTGTAAGTATATAAAAATGTCATGAAAGCTGGAACTCTACTTTCATCCAGCAAAGCAAACATATACTTGGAAGTATCATCCCCATTGTCTTCATCATATTAAAAAAAAGAAAAAAAAAAGATCAAATGAGAGCGTTAAGGAAGCCATGGCTGATGGATAAATTTAAGAATATAAATATGTACCCTCACTTCATAACATTACGGTCAAACATATACTTAAAACCAAAACAAATTATGCTCACCAATTTCTCATTATTATTTTATGTTTGGATTATGCCCCTTCAACACCTACCACCTAATGAGTAATGCTTAATACTGATGTCACATGTGCATCGATCTACACTTGAGTCATACAAAAAACAGATCACTAACTAGTTGAAGAGCGGAAAGCAACAAAAGCAATATAAAAGATGTCAATAGATGCTGGAACGGATGATTGAAGCATCTGGTTTCAACATTGTGGATATTTTTCATTGAAGAGTTTTATCAAACACTTCGTGTTCATAAAAAACAGACCCAGATTAAACAATCAACCCCATATGAAAACCCCTAAAATATAGTATAATCTATAGAGCTATTTCACGATTTCTACTAGTAGAAAATAAAAAATAAAAACAACTAAAGCAACTACCACGTTTTGGATCTGCAATTGAGAAGATGAGCAAGAAGAAGTCGGAAGTTTCGGTTGTAAAGTAGAGAAACTCATGTGTGACTTCAATGCTCCCTTTTCTCATCTTAACTGTCCCTCGCCTGGGCTAAGGAGTAGAACAAGTTATCCTATTATCATCTAGGTGTAAATTACATTTCTCAGACGAACTTGAGGGGTAGCACGGGCTACCCCTGGCTACTATCTGGTTCCGCCCCTGCATGCATCATAAATACATACACCATGAACATAATATCGTACATGTAATAATGAAACTCCGAAAAAACTTTCAGTGTAAATATATACATTATATTATATATATTATATAGGGATAATGACTTGAGAGGGTAACGAACTATATCATTTGTACATATTTGGTCACTTAATTTTTTTTGGTGTACTATTAACCATTAAACTTGTTTTTTTGTTTAAAACATATCACTATTACCTCCAATAGCAGGTAAAACTTATTGTGGGGGGTTTGAGTTCCATCTCCGGCGATATTTCCGGCGAAAGCAAACTCCGACGGCATCTCCGGTTATACTCTCCGTCCAAACATGATTTTTCGGTTACCTTCTCCGGCAAAACATGTATTTTCCAGCAAATAGAGTTCTTGAAGGACCTATTTTTTTTTTTCCAAAATTCTATGGGGTTCTAAGATCTGAAACATGAACACATACATATTTGGAGCTTCATATTTCAAGCTTTTCCGAAATGGACAAAGAAACCTAAAGATTTCAAAAATTAAGCTTCTTTTGGAGATGAACGATTTCTGATTTGGAAAAGCACCTCCAATTGATCTTCTATTTTCTCTATTCTTCCTATTTTTCTCTTTTCCACAGATTTGATGAACAACAAATCTTCAAAAAAGTTTTTTGGTAATCTGATGAACACAAGATCTAGAACTCAAGATCTTCGAACTTCAAGAACTCGATCTCTCTTCTTTCTCTTTCTTCTCTTTTCCTGAACAACAAATCTTGTTTCTCTTTCTTCTCTTTTCCAGATCTAAACAACAAACATTCTTTCCTTTTTTTCTCTTTTCTAGAGATCTGATGAAGAACAAATCTTCAAACTCGTTTTCTGGTAATCTGATGAACACAATATTTGGAACTTAAGATCTTCGAACTTCAAGAACTCGATTCCAGGAAACCCTTGAACACGATCTTGAAACCGTAAACCCACTGATCTCTTGTGTTCTTCAAATCGTAAACCCACTAAAATCATAAACCCCATAACACAAACTTCAAGTTCCTAAAATTGTGAGTTCAATGACTTTTTGAGTTCTGAAATCGTTTTAAGAAATGTTCAAGAACACCATTTTTCATATCTGAAGTTCAAAGGATTTTTAAGTTCTAAGACTCTTTCATATCTGATTAATGGGTTTGTTTCGAGAAAAAAAAAGAAAAAAAAAACAGAGCGGAAAAATATGTGAAGTTCTGAAACTCTTTCATACTTGGCCGGAAACCGGAGAACATGATCGGAAAACACATATTTGGCCGGAAACAATACCGGAAACCGGCAAAGCCCACTATTACCCGTCACACTGGTATAGTATACACGTTTCAACAAGTTCAAGGGTTAATAAAGCACGAAAAATAATTTAGTGACCAAATGTGACCAAAAGCTAAAATATGTTACCCTCTCAAGTCATTATCCCTATTATATACGTACGTATGTGTTAAATTAGAGGAAAACGCACCTTATTTTGCCTTTCACAATCACAAATATACAAAATATAAAGAAATGTTTTAAAATGATTATGTTTGTTGCCCTCATTATATACATATATAAATGCAACTACTTCTAGTTTTTTATTTTAATAAAAGGCAATCATATTATATGCCATGCATGTGTACCTTTGTGCATTATGATGTATAGATTCATAAAGTACCTATAACCATTAATAATTGTGTGGATGAGAAAAGTAACGAACATGTATGCATATATATGATAACTATCTTTATCAAAATACAAAATATTCATATAACAAAAATGAACATACACGCTAACTTATTTCGGGACTATGTCATCGATCACGAAGCTTGTCCCCACCCTATCAATTGGTATATTTCTTTGTGAGTTGAGGGGTAGTGAAATACATGTTTTCTAAACGATAGATACATGGGTGAGAATCACGACTATATACTTGAAACTTAAGCTATACAGTTATACCTGTTATACCTATCAGTTTCAAAACCGAAACCAATGTTATTTGTTTAGGTTCCGATTCCAATTTTCTAATTGAATCGGTTCTGATTCCAATTTTAAAATTTGAAACTTTTAACACTTAAGTACTCACAATGTATCATAGATCTAAGATGTTATCCAAACAAGACAAACATTGTACCTTTTATGTTAATATAAGAAAAAGAAAAGTATCAATGTCTAGCATGTCCTCACTTAGTGCCAAACAATATTATTTTGGTATTTAGCAACGTGAGAAAACAACAATCTATTTCTTTGACAACAGAAAAAACAAAAAACAAAATATAGGTGTTTGGGCATTGATTTTGAGAGAGAATTTTTTTTCTTTAAAAAGTGATAAATGGAGGACTATCATGAACTCTTCTTTTTATAAACATACGATAGTTTGCTACTTCTCTTTCCTTCTCAAAGTACCTATCTCCTTTGTCCCCTTTCTCCCTCAACTATGGTTTGAGTGTAATTCAGAGCCATGTTAGATTCCTTCATCTGTCAATCATCGATTCACCTCCATATAATTGGTTTCATCCTCCATAATTGCTGCTTCTGACTTCTGACACTCTAAATGTCTCGTTTTCTTCGCTCTTCTTCCTCGATAACTCCCCTGTTTACACAGCTCCGAGCTCGGAATTCAACTTTAATGGTGTCTGGAAAGGTGGGTCAACTGTTTGATTGAAGATTATACGGTTCCCATGCCCAAATCACGCCTTGGGTAAGCTTTCTTGAAATTTTATTCGTTGATTGACCTTGTTTGTAAGGATTTACTGTAGATTACCTAATTTTATTGAACAATTTCAACCTGGGTTTTGTGCATATTGAAGATTGAAGCTTTCTGCAACTGGGTTTTATAACAAATTTTGCAATGCAAGCATCTGATTACAATAGATCCGCTATATCCAACGCTTTTTACTGTCAGTCGATGCAAGAATTCGATTCGTTCTGTAAGCCCCAAGCTCAGTGTTTAAATGATCTCAGCCGTGGAACCAATTACTTGGCCAAATCGGAACCCTACTGCACTCTCGAATCCTCCTCCGCTAACGGCAGTTGCACCACCATGTACTATTCACCCTCCACTCTCTCTTCCTCGCAGAACGAACCTCATTCCCCTGATGTAAACAATTTCAGGTATAAATTGCGCCAATTAGAGACTGTAATGCTCGGAGATTCAGATTTCGAAGATGATGCCGGAAACGGGAGATCATTCGCCGGCGGTGTAGTAGACTTGCCGGATTTAGAAATTTGGAAAGAGATGATGGTGGGTTTTCCAAGACGAGACCTGAAACAAGTCCTCATTGCTTGTGCTAAATCCGTTTCCAATAACGATTTCTCAAAAGCCCAATTGTTAATATCGGAGCTCCGGCAAATGGTATCAGTCGCCGGAGAACCAATCCAGAGGCTGGGTGCATACATGTTGGAAGGACTGGTAGCTCGACTTTCTTCCTCGGGCAGCACAATCTACCGGTCAGATCCTCCATTAAACACACACACTCTATACGAAATCTGCCCGTACTTCAAATTCGGTTACATGTCAGCAAACGGTGCAATAGCAGAAGCGATGAAAGACGAAAAACGCGTCCACATCATCGACTTCCACATCGCACACGGGACCCAATGGGTCCCACTGATCCAGGCATTTGCAAAGAGACATGGTGGTCCCCCGCATATCCGGATCACTGGTTTCCACAACTCAACAAGTGAGTTGGGTCCCGTTGGCAAAAGGCTATGTAGGCTTGCAAAAGCCTACAATGTGCCTTTTGAGTTTCACACTAAATCCGGGCCTGAAAATTTTCAAGTCCGACCAGGTGAATCATTAGCAGTAAATTTCGCTTTTGTTTTACATCAAATGCCCGATGAAAGTGTAAGTATCCGGAATCATAGAGACCGTGTGTTAAGGCTTGTAAAGAGTATGAAGCCGAAAGTTGTAACCCTAGTCGAGCAAGAATCTAACACAAATACTGCCCCGTTTTATCCTCGGTTTCTTGAAGCTCTCGATTATTATAACGCGATGTTTGAGTCGATTGACATCACGTTGCCACGTCATCATAAGGAAAGAATAAATATTGAGCAACATTGTTTGGCCCGTGATGTTGTAAACATTATAGCGTGTGAGGGGGGTGAACGCGTCGAAAGGCATGAGCTTTTGGGGAAGTGGAAGTTGCGATTCGGTATGGCAGGGTTTAGCCCGAGCCCGATGAGCCCCGTGGTGAACCAAACGATCAAACGGTTGTTAAAGAATTATAGTGAGAGATATAGACTTGAAGAAAGGGATGGAGCTTTGTATCTTGGATGGATGAATCGAGATTTAGTCGCTTCTTGTGCTTGGAAGTGATCGAATGTCTCGTTTTTATAGCTTTCGGTAAGTTAGAACGAAATGTAACCGAGACAAGTTTTTTAATGAATCAATGATTATATATTGATCTATATTTGAGCTATAATACTTCAACTCTACTTGTATTGAACGAGATAAATGATCATTTTACCCTTACATTAAAAAACAAATTTCATAATATTCATAAATTTTAACATGAATGGATGTTATGAAAATAGAAGAAAACCATACAAGTAAAATATTGGTATGCCACACACTATAATGTTTTTTTGTCTTTGTGATGAGATCCCAATGGCCGACGAATGGTATTCTATACAATAGGTAGGGTTTAAAACTCTGACATATCTAAAATATTGTTATTGTTTCGGGCTTGGCCTCCTACAACATTTTTTTATTTTTTTATAATGTTTCCTTCTTGGTTAACAAAAGTGTTTGGGGACAAAAGAAGGGTCTAAAGAAAAGGGCACAGCCTTATTCTGGTGTTGTTTGGCATGAGGAGGACATTCGTAAGAACACAAAACACAGTAAAGCGTTGACCAGAAAAAGGTCAACATGAAGATTTGAAGACAAACCCATGTGTGGGCTTCTTGGGGACTTGAATGTTTTGTTGACTGGTATCTATCTATCTGAAACCAGGCGGTGCCGGCCAAATTGGTCAACACTATCCACCTAGAACCACCATATGGTCCATGGTTTCATAAACATTTAAAATTAATATAAAAACTAAAAATCTTATAGTAATACATGACAAGTCATTAGAATGTCACGATTATGACTTGCAACCAATGTGATGTATACCTACCAATGGGTACACTAAAAGCAAGTTAGTAGTGTGATATGATATATCTCCCATTGATTTTGCTATATGTTTACGATTGGACATATTATATGTGTGATAAAATAATCTTGAAAAAAGGTTTGTTTAGTTATATTATATGTGTGATAGAATAATCTTGATAAAAGGTTTGTTTTGTTGTTAAAAAAGGATGATAAAGAGATAAGCAATCCCACCCTTTCTTTGGTTAAAATATTCTTCTTTATTAAAAAAAGAATTTAATAGTGTATGTACAAGTTGCATGACTTGATAATGTGTAGAAAAGAGGCCTATGGTCTAAAGGTCGTTAGTGGGCTCCTATTGGGGGCTTGTATGTAGCCGGGGTGAGCTAAAAAGATTGTGTTTTGACGTTTTCTGAAAGTTTAGTAATATAGGTTCTGTTCTTTTTTAAAAATCAAGTTTAGTGTGTATTTTGTTACTGAGTCATGACCCGTCAAGTTTAAGTGTCATATGTAAAGATCAAAATAAAATTATGAAAATCTTCTGCATAAGTTAAGAACATTCTAGAAATAACACACAATGGAAGAAAGAACAATACAATTTTTCAAGAAAACCAAAAAGAAATGTATTTATGATTTTCAAAATGTCTATAAATGATTATATGAAACCTTAAACTATAGGGAGTGGTAGCATGTAATAGCATGTGCTAAAACATTGACACATCATATTTTTATGGACACCTAAACATAATATGATAATATAGAGTGGTGATGTGTTTAGAAGGTACATACTTTTTTGCTAAAATCAAATAAATTTTTATTTAACTAATTAAATGAAATAAACTATAAAACGGTACAAATTGCTAAATGTGAAGTTAGTCATATGGTACAAGTTACAAGTATTTGAAGCTGAAATAGTCAAATAGTGAAATGTGGATCACCTATTTTACTCTCATTCTTCTCTTTCATCTCGCAAAATAACTGGCGAGCCAATCTTAACAAAGGTGCTTAACACATAGGTAAGGAGTGGTAGCAAGGGTGATGGTGAGCCACTCCGCCATATAAATAGGGGGCTAAATTTGGCTCATATTACCCAATTTCTAAAAAATAAAACTGACATCAACTTTCTCCAATTAACCTGGAAATAAACAAAGAAAAAACAGAAATTATAGTAATGCCATAAAAACATAACAAATAAAAATAAAAATAAAAAGTAAAAGTTCCAAGATTAGGGGGAATTAATATTAAGACCATAAATGGAGGAATTTGATGATGTAAACTGCCTTTGGCTGCCTGTCAAAAGATCCGGTACTGTGTACTGTGCTTTAGCACGATGCTGCATTTGTTTTTTGTTTCACTGTTTCTAAAATTAATAACTAGTTTTCAATATCAACCCTTACATTTTGTTATTTATACTAAAATCAAGAAAACACATAAAAACCAAATAAATGCACATTATAATTTATAATTTATATATTATTTATGTTATCGGTTCGGTTAATATAGGGTCGGTTTCCCCATAAAACCGAAACGGAACCATTAGATTTCGGTTATCAAAACAAACAGTTTTCAAAAATAGTTCGGTTTTATCGCTTATTTCGGTTTTGTTTTGGTTTTTTGGTTATTATACTCAAACCTAGTCAGCGATATAAGCATAATCATTAATCTTCCACAAAATCTTGTAAGGACAATTCTTACGCTGACTTAGCTTGTTGAATGTACCCATCAGAAAACTCTTTTTATATAGGTGTACCATTACACCATATGTGAAAAAGAATACAAGTATGAGTAGAGGAAGAATTCATCCGTGTTTTTCATATATTGAATAACTAGATGGATTGTACATTTATACAGGAAAGAAATACCAAACTATCCTAATATACAACCTTGACTTTAGGAACTACAATTGACCTTATACAACAACATTTTTCACATGGGTCTTATCTACCCAAGACTTGCTCTCGCCAACACTCCCCCTCAAGGTGGAGAATGTATATCCATCATTCCCAGCTTGCTAAGAGAGCATTGAAACACTCTTCCGCAAACTGCTTTCGTTAACATATCTGCTAGTTGATCATTAGAGGCTACATGTGGGAGTTCCACAGTTTTCTTTTCAAGATGGTCTTTGATAAAATGTCTATCAATTTCCACATGCTTCGTTCGGTCATGTTGCACTGGATTGTTAGCAATCTTCACAGCAGCTCTGTTGTCACAGTACAATTTCATTGGAAACTTCTGTTCAATTCCCAAGTCTCTTAGGATTCGTTTTATCCATAGTAATTCACATATGTCATGCACCATACCTCTAAACTCAGCCTCTGCACTTGACCTCACCACCACCTTTTGTTTTTTACTTCTCCATGTGAGAAGATTTCCACTAACGAATGTAAAGTATCCAGATGTAGATTTTCCATCATTACGATCTCCACCCCAGTCTGCATCTGTGTAACGACACACCCCGTGACCTTTACTTTTTCCAAAGAATAAACCTTTTTCCTGGTGAAGACTTGAGGTACTTTAATATTCGATAAACAGCATTCATATGGTCTTCGTGTGGTGATTGCATGAACCGACTAACTACGCTTACAGCATAGGCAATATCTGGCCTCGTGTGTGACAAATATATTAGTTTTCCAACCAGTTTATAATATCTTTCTTTATTTGTAGGAACATGGTCTGAAAAATTAGATAGTTTATGATTGACTTCGATTGGTGTTTCTACAGGTCGACAATCTAGCATTCCAGTTTCCGTGAGAAGATCAAGTACGTACTTCCTTTGACACATTGTGATTCCTGTTTTCAACCTTGCTACCTCAATCCCTAGAAAATACTTCAGTTGTCCAAGGTCCTTGAGCTCGAATTCTTTTTCTAGTAATGTTTGAAGTTCTTTCATCTCATCAGGGTCATTTCCCGTAACAACCATATCATCCATATACACAATTAAGGTCGTGATCTTCCCAGTGTTCTTCACAAACAGAGTGTGGTCGGCATCACTTTGCTTATATCCTATCTTCTTCGTAAAACTAGAAAATCGACCAAACCATGTCGTAGGGGATTGTTTTAAACCATACAGTGCCCTTTTTAGTCTACACACTTTTCCATTGCAATTTATCCTAGGTGGCGTATCCATATACACTTCTTCTTCTAAATGCCCATTTAGGAAAGCATTTTTTACATCGAACTGCTTTAGTGGCCAGTCCTCATTTGCAGCGATGGATACTAGAATTCTAATTGTGTTCATCTTCGCAACAGGTGCAAATGTGTCTCCATAATCAATTTCGTACTTTTGTGTATATCCCTTTGCTACTAGCCTCGCTTTATACCGATCTATGTTCCCTTTTTCATCTAGTTTCACTGTGTAAATCCACCTACACCCCACTGTTTTCTTTCCAGAAGGCAGCTCCACAAGATCCCATGTTCAGTTTTTCTGTCAGGCTTCCATCTCATTATGCATGGTTGTCTTCCATTTTGAATCTTTCATGGCCTCTTGTACACTATTAGGAATAGAAACACTTGACTGTTCTTTCACTAGCAATGCGTGTGAGCTTGCTAGACGATGTGATGATACGAAGTTGTTGATTGGGTACTTCGAGTTCGCTTTGATGTCTGGTTCGTAAGGTTGATTCTAGTCGGTAGCTTGGTTCTGTTCTTGCTTCGGGTACCTGCAAAGTATCATCAAAGAAAGTTTCTGAATTGTTAGTCAATTCCTGAGTCTCTTCCTCCATTTCGTGGTATAAAGATTTTGTTGTGACAGCAGTTGTACTATCTTGTAATACTCTTTCTTCTTCTTCAACCGTTTCAGCCTCATACGGTTCATCTTCCATTGTCTCGTGATCATCTATGTGGGATTCATTTTCAGGATCGATGTCAAGATTCACGTTTTCACCTTCAGTTGGTGATTCTCCAGGAATATCAATATTAAACTCACTTAATTTTATTTGGTGATGTGTATTCGCTTCATCTCTTATCTCCCCCTGACGCAGAGACTCATCTCCAAAATAAGATTCTGATTCATGGAATGCAACATCTCGAGTAACATACATTTTATCGTTTGTGGGGTCATAACATCTATAACCCTTTTTCTAATTTGCATATCCAATGAACATGCATCTGACTGCTCGTGGTTCAAGTTTACCCACATTTTTATGAACGTATGCACCACACCCAAACACTCGAGGTTCAAGACCATTACTTTCGGGTAGGTTTATGAGTTCTTGCATTTTTTGTAATGGGGTTTTGAATTCGATAACACTTGAGGGAGTTCTATTCATTAAGTAGGTTGCGGATCGTACAGCTTCTCCCCAATATTTTCGTGGTA